TTTTTTATCCACTCGTCTACTGATGGGCACTTGGCCTGTTTCCAGATCTTAGCTATTGAAAATAATGCTGCTATAAGCATAGGGGTGCATATGTTCTTTCTGATTGGTGTTTCGGGATTCTTAGGATTTAAAGGGTTGCTCACGGGGATGGTGCAACTCCTTGGGCCAGCAACAAGGGAAGGTGTTTGCCACCCAGGACCTAAAAGGACGAGGGAAGAAGTGACCCCCAGAGCCCAGAGAAAGGCCGTAGAGGGCCACCTGGGAGGCGCTGTGGCTTGTCGTATAGAAATACAAAATGAACAGCAGCACCTGCAGGGAGAGATCCGGGAAACAAATAAACACCACTCCACTCTCTCCGATCTCCCGCCAGGGCTCCCCGCTGGCCCAACCCACTGCAGCCCAAGTCGTGGCATCCACTGACCCAGCCCATGCGGGCCAGCCTCCCGGCTGCAGGGAGGGGTCTGGAGAGGGAGAAAAAATCTTCGTGCAGTGAGTTCGTGCGTTTCTTCATTCTATGAATACGACACAGGCTTTCCCTCTTGATGCAAATTAAAAAATAGCACTTGTTATATGATAGAATTCCGTATATGAACGGTCCATCTTCCACTTCCAGGAAAGAACAAACGATGAGCTGTTCTTAACATTCTTTCCTTTTTCCTGTTGGTTGACTTCCATGAAAATGCATACAATGAGAATGCATACGCATACTGTAAAATACACTTTTAGTACATACATAATAAATACTTATTGTTATGAAAGGAAACTAGAAAAAAATATTAAGAAAATAATAAAAATTGAAGCCAAGATGGTGACTCCAAGGGAGGCTAAGATCGCGTGGCTAAGGTACCCGAGGTTGTGATGAAGGCAGCGGAGTGGCAACTTGTGCGCAGTAGGTGGGAGATGGTGGTGGGGGACCGGGCACCAGCCCCCAGGTGTCAGAGAGCGCCCAACAGTGGAAGCGCCGTCTTTCAGTTCAGAATGTCTGCCAACAGCGGTCTCTTGCCCGCTGCGATGGTCATGCCTTTGCTCGGACTGGTCATGAAGGAACGCTGCCAGGCTGCCGGGAACCCCTACTTCGAGCACTTTAGAATTGTGGTGGCGGCCACCGGCATGGCAGTGGCCCTCTTCTCGTCGGTGTTGGCACTGGGCATCACTCGCCCAGTGCCCACCAACACTTGTATCATCTCGGGCTTGGCTGGCTGTGTCATCACGTATATCATGAAGCACTCGCTGAGGGTGGGTGAGGTCATCGAGGTCCTGTTGATCTTCGTCTACCTCAACATGATCGCTGTACCTGTGCTCCCCTGCTGCTTCACCACTGGGGAGGCGCTGCTGGTGTTGGGTGGCATCAGCTTCATGCTCAACCAGCTCATCAAGCGCTCTCTGACCGTGGTGGAAAGCCAGGGAGACCCGGTGGACTTCCTCCTGCTGGTGGCAGTGACGGGGATGGTCCTCATGGACATCATCTTCAGCACCCTCTTTGTCTTCATGGACTCGGGGACCTGGGCCTCCTCCATCTTCTTCCACCTGATGACCTGTGTGCTGGGCCTCGGCGTGGCCCTGCCCTGGCTCTATCGGCTCATCCGGAGGAACCCCCTGTTCTGGCTTTTTGAATTCCTCTTCCAGACAGAAACCCGCCTCTACCTCCTAGCCTACTGGTCTCTGCTGGCCACCTTTGCCTGCCTGGTGGTCGTGTACCAGAATGCCAAGCGGTCATCTTCCGAATCCAAGAAGCACCAGGCCCCCACCATTACCCGGAAATATTTCCACTTCATTGTGGTCGCCACCTACGTCCCAGGTATCATCTTTGACCGACCACTGCTCCACGTGGCCGCCACTGTGTGTCTGGCAGTCTTCATCTTTCTAGAGTATGTGCGCTATTTCCGCATTCGGCCCCTGGGCCACACTCTGCGCAGCCTCCTCTCCCTCTTCCTGGATGAAC